CTAAACTTACAAAACAAGACAGTACTGAAAGGTTCCTGTTGGAATGGAGAAGTGTGCCAGACACACTGTGGCGTTTGGGCTAAAGATGGATGCCACAACGTTACAGAGAAACTTTGGGTGACTGTCCAGGTAGCGGATGTCTCTGTCAATTCTAGAGTTTATATATTTTCCTTCTGTGGTCTTTGATAGAGTTGAAGACAGATAGTTATGGTTATAGTTTTCTTCAGTTATTATAAAAGATAAGTCACTCTTCTTTTTATTTAGACAGAAAAGAGGAGATGATGGGGAATGTACTTCTTTGTATGTTTATCTTATTGATTGTTGAATAAAATACTGTTTGGCCAATGGCAAGCATGAGTAGGAGTCAAAGAGGATTCTGGGAAATGTAGTAGAGAAGTGATGATCCAGGCAGGAAGTGACATGGCAAGGAGACTCATATCTAAGCAAGGAAACAGGAAGTGTGTCTCTCTTTTTCCCCTCAGCTCCTGCTCCAGGGGCACAATGTGGTCCACCAGCAAGGAGGGATGGTAATAAGGCGTCCGATAAGATAAGTCTTATAATATATATAGACTTCTTCCTGATAGATTTTTCCTGTGATGAATATGAAATAACCTTCTTCATCTCTTTTGATTGATTTTAGCTTGAAATCTAACTTGTTAGATACTAGGATAACTACTCTTGCTCGTTTCTTAGGTCCACTTGATTGGAATATCTTATCCCAACCCTTTACTCTGAGGTAATGTCTGTCTTTGAATTTGAGGTGTGTTTCTTTATAGGCGAGTTAAGACCATTAATATTGAGGGAAAGTAAGGTCCACTGAGTGTTTATTCTTGTTTGGTTTTGATTTGTTGTTGATAGTGTTATTGTATGTGGATTTACCCTGATTTTTCTTTTGGGTTTTAGCAAAGTGGGATTATCTATTGCCTATGTTTTTGTGTGTGTAGTTAATTTCCTTAGGTTGGAGTTTTCCTTCTAGTACTTTCTGTAGGACTGGATTAGTGGTTACATATTGTTTAAATCTGGTTTTGTCGTGGAATATCTTGTTTTCTCCATTTATAGTGATTGAAAGCTTTGCTGGGTATAGTAGTCTGGGCTGGCATCCATGTTCTCTCCAAGTTGGTAGAATATCTACACAGGTCCTTCTGGCTTTCAGGGTTTCCATGGAGAAGTCTGGCGTAATTCTGATAGGTTTGCCTTTATATATTACTTGACCTTTTTCCTTTGCTGCTCTTAATATTCTTTCTTTATTCTGTATGTTAGGTGTTTTCATTATTATGTGACAAGGGGGATTTCTTTTTTGGTCCAATCTACTTGGTGTTCTGTAGGCTTTTTTTTCTTTCATTGGCATGACTTTCTTTAGGTTGGGAAAGTTTTCCTCTATGATTTTGTTGAATATGTTTTCTGCACCTTTGAGTCGGGTTTCTTTACATTCTTCTACACCTATTATCCCTAGGTTTGGTCTTTTCACAGTGTCCAATGTTTCCTGGATATTTAGTGTTAAGGATTTGTTGCACTTAAGATTTTCTTTGCTTGATGAATATATTTCCTCTAGTTTATCTTCAGCGTCTGAGAATCTGTCTTCTATCTCTTGTATTCTGTTGACTATGCTTGCATCTGTGGTTCCTGATTGTTTACTCAGCTTTTCCACTTCCAGCATTCCCTCAGTTTGTGTTTTCTTTTGTTGTCTCTATTTCAGTTTTCCAGACCCGAACTGTTTCCTTCAGCTGTTTAATTGTGTTTTCTTGGCTCTCCTTGATTTCTTGCATCTTTTGGTTCGTCTTTTCTTCCATTTCTCTTAATGATTTATGATTTCCTCTCTTAGTGTCTCTATCATTTGCATGAAGTTGTTTTGAAGATTGCTGTCTTCTGCTTCATCTTGTTGGTATGTTCATGTGTTGCTGGTGTAGAATCCCTAGACTCTAGTGGTGTCACGTTGGTTTTCCTGTTGTTGGATAAGTTCTTATATTGTCGTCTTCCCATCTCTTCTTCCAGTGGGTGCAGGTGGTGTCTTTTCCTTTCCTGGTGTGTATGGGTCTGGGGTTCTATGCATGTGGGTGCAATCACTCTGATACTCTGATGGGTCTCAAGGTGGGTGCAGGCAGGTCTGAGGCACTTGCTCTTCAGGTGGGTGAGAATGAGACTAGGGGAGAGATGTTAGCAGATTCTGGGTTGCTTGGTCCTCAGAGGCCGATTCAATCTGCCTCTACACTGCATGGGGGCCAGAATAGCCCAGCGATCTCAGTAGAGTCATGGTTGCATGGTTCTCAGGGGCCAATTCAGTCTGCCTGCACACCCCCATTGTAGGAGTTCCCAGAGTAGGCAGGCAGAAGTTGGGCCCAAGGCAGGAACAAAAGCAGCCCACCTCTGCACTCTGTACTCTTTATTATGCATTGCCTGGGGCAGAGTATCCCAGTGATCTCAGCAGAGTCAGTGTCCCTTGGTCCTCAGTATGCCTGCTGACCCTGGGGCAGGATTTCCCAGAGTGGTCAGGCAGAAGTTGGGCCCAAAGCATAGGGTGCAGCAACTCACCTCTGCAGTCTGTGGGGGCCAAAATAGCCCAGAGATCTCAACAGAGTCAGGAGCCCTTGGTCCTCAGTGACTGAAGCAGACCCTGGGGCGGGATTTCATAGAGTGGGCAGGTAGAAGTTGGGGCCAAGGCAGGGTCCAAAGCAGCTCACCTCCGCAGTCTGTGGGGGCCAGAATAGCCCAGCCATCTCAACAGAGTGAGAGTCCCTTTGTCCTCAGGGACAGATTCCATCTGCTTGCAGACCCCGGGGCAGGATTTCCCAAAGTGGGCAGGCAGAAGTTGGGCACAAGACAGGCCTGAAGCAGCTCACCTCTGCACTCTGTGGTGGCCAGAATAGCCCAGCCATCTCAACAGAGTCCTACAAGCTCTTTTCAATTGAGCCTTGTGTTTCTAATATGTGCTTCTTTTATTTGAAAGGATGGAAGAAGAGCAACAGACTGAGAATTCAAGACCTCCCCAAAAGAAAGCAAACCTAGCTGCAATCAAAAGAAAGAAACGTGGCAAGTTTCTTTTACCTAACCTGAGGGACAGGAAAGGAAAACTCTCTTCATCTCAAGATGCAGATCAGGAGATGTTCAAATGTGAATGCCACTTCTGCCAGAAATATGGGGGAAGCACGTCTGGGATGTCTGTGGGTACCAGGACAGAAGAGACCTTTCATTCACGCTCCTTAGAAAAGCTGGCACTAGACCTCAGTAACATGACACTCAACCCATGTACCAACCGTACCCCTCTTATGCAAAAAAGCACAGAGAAAATAGAAAATGACAATGTGCATTACAAACAGAACAGCAAGCGTCTAGTTAAAATGCTTCTTCAGGAATGGACAGAATAACTCTGGCCTTGACACCTAATTTTGAAGATGACAAGAACCTACAGGATCGTGAATGTCAATATCACCAACCACTCCCTGGGGTAATTTCTTTTGGGGCGCATCCTCAAAAGGAGTAACAATGTACAGTCTTGTAACAATAACACCATCACAGGCTGAGACTCAAACCTATTCCAGAAATGTTGCATTCTTTTCTTTAGTAGTTTTGACATCCTTCCTGGGACATTCTGTGTTAGATGCTGCTAGGCAAAGGCAAGCACATAGTGGTGTTTCTATACTCTCCATCTGCTATTCTCATAGGTGAGCTAATAGTTTCCTCTCCTCAGGTTTTATCTTTTCCTTCCTTTCTGTGTTGCTGGTTTCAAAACTACCTCAGTTCCATTTTATTGACTGGAGGGCAAAAGGAGCACTAGGTCTGGTAGAGAGATCTCCCCCCCGCCTCTGTGTGTGTGTGTGTGTGTGTGTGTGTGTGTGTGTGTGTGTGTATGTGAAATTTTTGTTTCAAAGCTGTTGGATGATGTTTTGTTTGTGTTATGATAAATCAAGCTCGCCAGGGGATCAGAGGGCAGAGCTCCCTACTACTTAATCATAGAAGCTATATGCTGGTGGTTCAAGCCTATGATCCCATTGCTAGAGAAGTGAAGAAAGGTCAGAGGATACTGAGAGGTAAGAAGTCACTGGTGGCTGCTCCTCAGGTTCTCTGATGTTCCATGTTCTTACCCCATTTTTGACTTCTGGTTTTTTTATTGATTAAGGTTCATTATACTTATGCTTCAATGAACTATCGTAGACATAGAACAATGAGAATATAATGCACATTCTTCTTCCAATTCATCCCATGATGGTTTCCTATAGTCTTTACACAACTATATAACACTTAAAAAACAGGAACCTAACACGGGCACAATTGGTGCATACAGCTCTCTTTCACTGTATCATATGTGTAACTTCAAGCAATTACCACCACCACCACCAAGTTTTTCTCACTTTCATCAATTGGAGACAATTAAATGCATCCTTATTGGAATGTAATATTATTAACTGGTTCAATGTTGATTTTTACATTTGTTTTGTTTTTGGTGTACACACTTGCATATGTTGGCATGTGTGTGTTAGAGTGTGTGATTTCTTTTCTTTTTGATTTTTTTAGGTGCAGAATCTTTTGTGACTCTCCTCCTGTTGAGTCACTATGTCCATTTTTGATATTGTAGTGTTTGCTTTATCATAGTATATTTTATTTTGTTGTCTGCTTGTTATCTGTTAGAAATTGTTCTTTTCTAATGAAAGACAGAAAGAGAGTGGATCTGAAGGCAGGAAGGTTGTAAAGAATTGGGAGGAGTAGAGGAAGGGGAAACCATAATCATCAGGATGTATTATATGAAAAGAGAATTTTCTTTCCATAAAAGAAAAACACTGTGACATAAAGATAATGATGTTTGGAATGTATTGGAAAGTTTCAATTTGTGTGTTTGTGTGTGGGTGAGTCTGTGTGTGTGTGTGTGTGTGTGAGAGAGAGAGAGAGAGAGAGAGAGAGAGAGAGAGAGAGAGAGAGAGAGAGAGAGAGAAACAGAGAGAGACAGAGACAGAGACAGAGAAACAGAGAGAGAGAGAGATTGTGTAAGCGACTGGATGTGCATGTAAGTACACTGTATATGGAGGCCACATTGAGACTTGGGATTCCCTGGAGGTCTAGAGTTCTTTCCATTTTCACGGTGCCCCATGAGGTTTTCTGGAACCAACTCCCAGCTGTCTGCATGAATAGCACATGCTGCTGCCAACTGCCAGACCCTCTGTATTTCATTATGTTCACAGAACTGCCTGTGCATCATTGTTATTTCTTTACCATTACTCCAGGAACAATGCATTTCCCCAGGGCTGTCCTGAGTAAAAGTGGGACCAGCTTGTTAATGTAGCACAAGGAAGGTCTGAAGAAATCATGAGTGGGGAATAAGGTCCAATTAGAGCTTCAGCGTTTGTGGACCACAAATGTGCAATGGGATGGCATCTCTCTAAGGGATAAATAGTAAGATGTTGTCTGGAGGACTACTCCATGCTACTCTACTACAGTGGCAAGATATCACCCATGGGGCTTTCTGTCAATCAGTGCTGGAACCTGGCCCAGTTGTAGTGTTACCCTTACCGTCCCAGGTACATGTTAAAGGCAAAGAAAATGAAACTTCCATGTGTGTAGAGGAAACACTCAAGATGGTGTACACAACCTGCTATACTGGCAGAACTGGCACATTGAGCTCTGGAGATTCAATGGGGAAGGTGTAGAAGTCCTAGCAGTGATGATCTCAGAAACTGGTCACTCAGAGGGAATGGGACCTGGACCTGAAGTGTACCAAGACCACTTCAGCCACCTGGCAAAGGGGATGGTGTACTCATGGTGGGATTTAAGTTTGTCCTGAGTTCCATGAGTTTGTGAACAAGATTTTGAAAGAGTGTTCATCCATTTAGGAAGGGAAGTCAGAAAGTGAGCTGTGTGTGCAGGGGCAGGGAGAGGTGAGAAAGAGGACTGGAGTTCAGAGACTGATGGGCAAAAGACTTGTTTTCAATGGAGAGGTATGCCAGAGAAATTGGATGCTGATCCTGGAGTCATGGGTGCACAAAGAATGGGTCATGAAGGATGTCCTCTGACACTACCTCTAGGGTAGGTGGGTAACTGTCTGGGAATCCTGGTGACATATATACGGCATCTCACATTCCTGTGTATCCTGCTCCTAATCTACAGAAGTGCGCATTGGAGACATCTCAGTCAGTTCATGCATTATGAAGAGGAAGTGGAAAGGAAACAATTAGAGGTCCATGTGTTCTGAGAAGGTCAGTGTTAAGGGACTTTCACTGAACCTGCATAGGTTTGCCATTTGCTGTCTGAATTGTTATGAGTTCAAGTATGCACCTGCTCTTGGATGTGAATGCAACAAAAAATTTCGGGCAGCACAGGTTGATTTTGAACAGCTTAAAAAGAAAATGATGGCCACAAATTTAGACAGGTATGGAAGTTTGAGTATTTCTTGGAAGAAATGGTGGGAAGAGATGGAGGTTATGAAAACAAATTTAGTAAAACTCTCAAAGAATATAAAATAACGATGATTTTAAAGGCATTTGATAGAGGTCATGGACCCTAAGTTTCTCTCTCATTTCCTGTCTCCTGGGTTTATTGTTCACCTGACATATGCAGTCCTACAAAGAGCTGAAATTTTGCTGCTTAGGCTCTCATCCTCCAAAACTGTGACTGAAAAATTTGTGAATGAGGTTTATAATATATTTATTCATTACCGAAATTAGAGTTTTATTAGGAGCAAGTCTCTTCTTTCAGCAGGTATCTATGCCAGGACTTTAGTCATCATAGATGATTTCTTATGTTGACAGTGCATAGTTTCCCTCTGGTGATTACTGAGCAGAGGTATTTTAGGAAATAGAAGACATGAAAATGCAAGGCCAATGAATCACCAGAATGACAAGACATTAAAGTAATGTGTGCCCAAACCTTTTGGCCTGAGTAGAATTCCTGGAAATCATGTGTTGGAAGAACAGAACAGACTCACTGTATTTTCTCTAATATTCACATATTTGCATCATGGCATGTACATCTTTGAAAACACACACACACACACACACACACACACACACACACACCTTTGAAATGCAATAATATAATCTGGAAAATTAGAAATAATATTCTGGAATGCATGGGGATTCACAGGTGACACCATCTTCCGTTGCTCAGTTGCTTCTATGCCTAGGAACATGAGGAACTCTGCTTCGGCGATGTTGTTTACTCTGTCCAGTGCCTTTTCTCAGCTAAGCACTGTAGCAACAAAGGACAAAATGATAATAAGGGCTGACAGAGAACCACAGAATTGCATACTGGTGAGCCACTTCTTCCTATGGACAGGCATATTCCTAGAAAATGTGATAACTGACATGATTGAAAGAAATCAGTACACCCCATGTTCTTCACATACAAGAGATCTAGACAGGCCATGAGATTTTGAGTTCCTTTTAACTAAAACTGTCTTTCTTTGTTCTCAAAATTGTTTGGAAGTGATCTACCAACTATGTGCACATGTGGGAACAAGCCTGCTTCTTAGATGAATGTTGCCCTAACTCTTCCCAGAGGACTTCCCTTAGTAGCTGCTAGAAAAAAAATTGCCAATCAGGGAGGCATCAGTCACATTTGGACAGTTAGGATATCACCCCATAAAACAATTAATATTACTGAAGGTGTGTGGGTTTGGGGAACACAGTCTTGCAGGAAGGGTGTCTGTCAGGTGAGCAGGGTAGGCATATTGTTGGACATAATGCAGTATTCCTTTCTTTGTCTTTTCTCCTGGTGTCCAAGATTTTGGTTACTAAATGCCCATATTTTCGTGAAACCCTATAGATGGCCCATTGACATGCAGAAGGAGAGGCTTTTCCCTCCCACAATTTCATCTGTTTTATATACCCAAACATCGCAAAGCAGGAAATCCATTGAAGTCTGAAGTTGTTGAGCAATTTAAGCAGACTACCCCAGCATTAACACTGCTGGATACCAGACCATTTCAGACCAGCCTCAGGAAGCCAGCAGTGGTCAGAGGGCAACCATCAAGAAAGGCAGGCAAAGCTGTAACCCCGTGAGGATGCTTTTTCCAAGGACATCAACAACATCTCTCCATCTCCATCTGCACAATACCCTGTTCTCCCTGAGTCTTGTGTTGCACGTTCACCTCAGCCCAAGGCTCATCAGGAAAACTCACTATGAATGGGGATGATGGCACATAAGGTTAGTGTCTGTAGATGTCTCAGTTGTGATTTTCTTGATGTAAAGAGACACCATGCTCATGGCAACACTTACAAAGGAAAACATTTAACTCAGGCTGGCTTACACGTCAGAAGTTTAGTCCATTATCATCATGGTGAGAATCATGGCAGAATTCAGACAGACATGGTGCTGGAGAGGTAGCAGAGGCATCTACATAAAGATCTGCATGCAATAGGAAGAGACAGTAAGGGAGACACCATGCCTGGATTGAGGTTCTGAGACCTCAAAGCACACTAACCATTGATGCACTTTTTCTAATAAGGCCACACCTTCTCCAACAATGCTATACCTCAAAGAATACCACTACCTATGTGTCTATGGGGTTATCTTCATTCAGACCACCACAGTAGTTATACAGAAC